GCACGAGCTCAAGGCCTCCTTCCCCTGGGAGTGGGTGGCCCCTCGTCGCCTGGGTCCCCGGGGAGGGGGCAGCGCGTGGGGGCTGATGGGCTCACGCGCATCAGCCGCCCAGAGAGGAGCTGGGCCTCGGCCGCTGGAGCAGGGTGAGGCCCGCAGGGGCTGCCTGCCACGATCCTAGAGCCACCGGGCTTCCTGCCAGCATGGTGAGAGCCGGGGCCCTTTGCTCGCAGCTAGGGGCCCGCCCGGTGCCACTCGGCTCCAGGGACGCTAACTGGGGACCTCCACCCGTGGGCCACATGGTGGGCCGTGTCATCCTGGGGCCTGGTCACAGCTCGACCATGCCATTGCCCACTCCAAAGCCCCCGTGGCTGCGGCCGCCTGGGCGACGGAGCAGGTGAGTCCGCACTCCTCGGCGTGGCGTCGGCGTCCCCGGGGCTGGGACCCCCCACCCTGCCCCCGCCACGGCCCACTGGCTGTGTGGTGCGCAAGGCCCAGTCACCTGCCCAGCTGCCTTCCTTCCCTCTGTTGCAGACCCTTAGCAGGTGCCAGGCTCACTCCCTGGGGAGGTGGGAGGGGTGGACCGGCAGGTGCTCCATGAGGTGGTTGGGGGAGGCCCCTCGGTGAGCAGGCGGCCGGCACCGGGAAGCACGGGGCTCGGGAACCCCTGCCAGGCAGGCGTCACAGGAGGTGAAGGAGCACCTGTGTTCTGGGGCAAGCGAGGCCAGCGTGAGGCCAGTGAGCTAAAGGAGAGGAGCCGAGCCTGGGGCCCAAGAGGAAGGGCCCCGTGGGCCACGGGAAGGACCTCGACTCCCACACTGGGGGAGGCAGGGCCCCTGGACGCTTCTGTCCAAGGCACTGCAAGAACTGACATCATCCTGGCTGCCCAGGCAAGCGTGGATGGGGGACAAGGATGGAAGTGGGGAGGCCATCGCCCGCACCCACGCTCACCCACTTCCGATCCTTTGGGGGCGCCGCTCTGTGTGCCCGAACCCGCTCTCCGCAGGCTGTGGCCCCAGGACACTGGATGGTCATTGCACTAGGCTCAAAGGCCACGTCCCAGCAGGCCGCCCTAGGCGCTCCTCCCTGCACCCCAGGGAGAAATACCTCCTCCTGCCTCTGCGCTTGCACAGCAATCTCTCCGCAGTCCCCAAGGAAGTGCTCTCTTGTGAAATTGTCTCCTGTTCCCTACACCGAGTGCTGGGTCTTTAGGAGATGGGCCTTGGCTGTTTGGGCCACTGTAGAGTTAAGCACGTGACCTTGCGACCTTAGTCCAGGCCACGGCCCTCCCCTGGGCTGCAGATAGCGCTTCCCTGGCAGCCTCGCCCAAACCAGCAGACTCAAAATCTGTGTGTTGGCGGGTGGGGGCGAGGGGGGCGGTGTTGAGCATCTGTGTTTTTCAAAGTTCTCCAAGAGATTTTCGTGTGACTAAGGACGAGAGCCGCTGAGCTGATCGTTAGGGAGGGCCTGGGGCTTGGGGTAATTTCTGCCTCCCAGAACAGCCAAATGTCCCCCATTAGGGTGTTGCCACATGTCCCAAATTCAAGTCCTACCGCGGCCATGCTTTGGATATTGGATGTGGTCACTTCATCACTCTGAGCCTTGGGTTCCCTTTCCAGAGCTCCTGATACCCAGGAGGCCCTCAGCAGCGATGGCTGCCCTTCCCGCTCCTCCGAATAGAGCTGAGATGGACGCACATCCTCTGTAGATGACAGAGTGTGATGATGGTGGTGGTGGTGGTGATGATGGTGGGTGATGATTATGGTGGTGGTGGTGGTGTGGTGATGGTGGTGTGATTATGGTGGTGGTGGTGATGTGGTGGTGGAGGTGGTGGTGGTGGTGATGGTGGTGGAGGTGGTGGTGGTGATGGTGGTGATGTTATGGTGGTGGTGGTGTGGTGGTGATGGGTGGTGGTGGTGGTGGTGGGGTGGTGGTGTGGTGGTGGGGTGGTGGTGGTGATGGTGGTGTGTTGTGGTGGTGGTGGTGGGTGGTGGTGGTGGTGGTGGTGTGGTGGTGGGGTGGTGGTGGTGGTGGTGGTGATGTGGTGATGTTATGGTGGTGGTGGTGGGTGGTGATGGTGGTGGGGTGGTGGTGTGGTGGTGGTGGTGGTGGTGGTGTGGTGGTGGGGGTGGTGGTGGTGTGGTGGTGTGATTTGGTGGTGGTGATGGTGATGGTGGTGGTGGTGGTGATGGTGGTGGTGGTGGTGGTGGTGGTGATGCATTGGTGATGATGGTTGATGGTAGTGATGGGATGGTAACCACAGATGGGTTCCCATGTGCTGGGATAACCATCTTTCCTCAGCACAGGGATGCAGTGTTCCGGGGCCAGTGGGCACCCACACGGCTGGTCTCAACGATTCACCCCACTCTGCGCAACTATGTTTTCTGCGTGCGCTGTGATGCGATGACGGTTGGAAAGCCCTATTTAGTTTGATGCTATTCATTTTACCTTCTTTTTGTTGCTTAGTAACATCGTCTCCTGTTTCTTTCTTCCCCAAAGTCCTCCTACTTGTCCTTTTCATTTAGCTAAAAAGTCCCCACGCACTCGGTGGAGTAGAGGATCAGAGCCCTGATTCCAGCAACTGGCCTCGTTAGATGGAATCGTTTCCTGTGCTGACCGTGTGCCGTGGAGAACCATGTGACCGAGGGAGCACTGGCGGGGCGCCCTGGACGGAAGCAGAGCTCCGACCTTGCCCGTCGCGACTGTACCGCCAAGCCGCTCACTTAATGCCCGGGGCGCCCTTGCTGTGGCGGGGGGTCTCCACGTTCCGCATCACCCACGGGGCTGGGTCTGGCTTGATCCGGGCTTCTCGGTGACTGGTTTTGAACAACAGCCGAGCAAGTAGGCGCGGAGTAGTGGGCAGCAGCAGTTGACCGAGGCCCACGAGATAAGCCTCCGTCCTCCCCAGGGGCCGCTCTGGGACACGCGGGTGTGGGGTCGGGGTGCTGCTCCTTCCCTATCTACAATCTCCAGACGGCCCCCACCTGGTCCCCGCTGTCCCCGCAGGCGGCCGCCCCATGTCCTCTGCTCTCGGCGGCCCAAACATCTGCGAGGACTGCCCTGCTCTGCTGCCCTCCGAGGCTCAGCGCCCCTTCTTTCACGAGGGCCCTGCCCTCCCCTTCCGGGAGCAAACCCCTCCTTCCTTAGGGCTCGGGCCCCCACACCACCCTTTCTGCAGCTGCGCAGGCACCTGTGGGCTCCGGGGCCTTCGTGCCGCGCCTGAGCCTGATTTGGAAAAGAACTGCCTGCGGCCCTTGACCTGCCGTGGCCCGGGCCCTGCGCCTCCCGGGCCAGCCCCGTGCCGACGTCCATCCAGACCCCCTGCCCTCTGCTCGAACGAAGGGCAGATGCGCCCTTAGGGGGCTGCTCGACGGGGGCGAATGAGATCAGCCGCTGATCCTGGGTTCTCGCCAGGAAAACGTTCGCGGCCACGAATGCAACACAGGCACGGACCCCAAGTGAGCCCCGGGATCGTCTCGTCCCCCGGCCCCTTCTCCGCGCTGGTCCCAAGCTCTCTGGCCTGTCACAGGGCAAGTCGCAGTCAGCCTGACAGCTCCCATTGTCTCGAGATTTAAAGGGAAGCAATCGTCGGTGAGCTCCCTGAGCTTTCCCAGTCGCTTGTATTTCTGCCGATTGCCAAACACTGTGTCTCTTTGCTCAAGTGTCCGAAGTACTCCCACAGACATCAGAGGTGCCCCCCCCCGGTTTTCGCTGCCAGCCTCCCCACAGCACGTGTCCCTTAGTCTGACCGCTGTCGGCCAAGTCCTGGGAGACCTTCACGGGGGACGTCGCCAGCCCCAGACATTTCCCGTGCGGCTCAGACGCCTGCGCTCCCTCCACTGCTTCCTGGCGGAGTGAGCAAGGCGTCCCGGCCCCCGCAGCTCTGGGCTTTGTCACCATGACAGCTGGGGCTCAGGACTGAAAGCAGATTCCCCGGGGAGGGAGGGGGGCCACCGCGCCCTCCTCCAGCCCCAGGAAGGGAAGCAGCAGGGGACCCAGGAGCCCACACACCGGGGCATCCGTGTCGCGAGGCCCTTGGTGACACATGCTGCACACCGCTGCCCCACGTGGGATCGCTGGGTCTCAGACATGGGGTCTGGGCAGGGGGAGGTGGCGTCCCAGCAGGGACCGATGCGGTCACACAGGTGTCTCAGCCTCTGCGTCCCCGTCTGTAGCCTGCGGTGATACCTGCCCCGCAGGGTCACCGCCTGGACGCCACGGGCCAGCAGGTGCACAAGCGGTGGCGATGGTGTCTGGTGCACGGGGAGGGCCCTGGCGCTGGCACTGTGCCGGCCACTCCCCCGCAGGCCATCTCGTGGGCCGTCCCGATGACCCCGGGCACAGGGGCATGCGGTGACCACCAGACAGGTCTCCTGCAGCACACTTGCCTCGTGACCCTTGTGCTCGGTCCTGTGATGGAGAAGCAGCCCCGCTCGGGGGCTTCAGCAGGTGACGCTCCATCCACACACAGTGTTGCTCAGCGCTCAGCGGCATGAGCTTTCGAGCCCTGAAAAGGAGTAAACGGGGCTCGATGCACAATTGTAAAGGCTGCACACTACAAGACATTCCAGAAAGTTCCAGGTACATGACATTCTGCAGAAGGCAGCCTATGGGGGTAGTGAGGATGGGTGCTTGCTGGGGCTGGAGGGCAGGTCCCAGGGGTCTTGGGGCAGCGGGACCACGGTGTAGGGAGCTACAGGAAGGTGCGCGTTGTCCCACTTTGTTAAACCGCAGAGAATGTACAGGATCCAGGGTGACCGTGCGGTGCCCTCAAGACCCGGTGACTCATGAGTTGACGTAGGAACATCGGTTGTGACACACAAGCCATTAGAGCAATTATGGTGCCGGACGTCATCGGTGGCGAAGAACCCACGTATGTTGGGGCAGGACATCCCTGCCCCTTGGGTATCACTGTCCCTGAACATCCCTCCCCCCGGGTACCCCTCCCCCCTGGGAATCCCTCCCCCCTGGACATCCCTCCTCCCTGGACATCCCTCGCCCCTGGGCATCCCTCGCCCCTGGACATCCCTGCCCCTGGACATCCCTCACCCCTGGACATCCCTGCTCCCAACATCTGCACTCCTGGTCCTCTGGCCTTCGGACGTGGACCCCAAGTGTACCACGGCTCCCCGGGTCCCCGGAGTGCAGCCAGTGCCTCGTGGGACTTCTCGGCCTCTGCAAGCCCATGAGTGAGTCCTGCGCGTACGTGTCTGTACTTGTCATCGGGGATCTGTCCCCGGACAAGGCTGACCAATGAGCAGTGATGAGGGCTGGCGTGGGTGGCGTGAGAGACGGAGTGGCCGTGTCGGAAGGCGCTTCTCTTCTTGCAGAGCATTTGTCCTTCTTCTGCCTCCAGTTACCTCTGGGTCTTTGGTGTTCTTTAATCCCACGTGACACTTCGCAATGTGCTTGGTGACTCACTACCGGCCATTAAGTGGCATTAACTGTCTGCCTTCAGAGGTGAGTAATGACGACTCAGATCCGTGGGCGGCTCGGCCCCCAGGCGAGGTGTGGGCGCCTGCGGGGGTGGAGGTGCAGGCAGGGGCAGGTGCGCAGGGCTGCGGAGCCTGACGTCCCCCCAGTCCTGGTGACACGGGGCCGTGTGAGCAGCACCAAACCCTCCACCAGGGAGCTGCTGGCAGGACGCGGGGGGTCGGGGGGACAGGGGGAGCAGAGGCTTGGGAGCCGGGAGCGCTCCTGCTGGTGCGTGAGCCTGGGAGCCTCCTGCTCCCCCGAAATGGGAAGGAGCCCCCTGGTCGGTCGTGGCACCGAGATGATCCACTGAGCCCACTGAGCCGGGAGGGCAGGAGCCTCCTGTCCTAGATGTGGCCAAGGGTAGGCGGGACCGCATCCAGTGGGGGTGGGGAGTGGGAAGGGGGCCTGTTAGGGCACCTGGGCCTTGCCAACCCCTGGTGTGGCTCCCCTCTCGCTGCGTCCCCAGCGTCCTCGCAGGCCCCAGATCTCTGCTTTGCTGGCCCAGCAGGCCCGGCTGAACGGTGGCCCCGGAGCATGAGCCCGTGTGGGCGCCCCGTGGGCTGTAGTACCTGCACAGATCACGGGGTGACTCAGGACGTGTGAGGGGGCCGCCCGTCCAGGCAAAGGGGGCTGGTGCCCGCCGCCCCGTCATGGAGGCCGCAAACCACTCGGGGTGGGGGCCCGCCCTCTGATACGTGGACCCCAAGCCCGCTTGCCGACGGGTGGACCTGCCGGCCCCACGCCAGCTCCTCAGCGGGTGATAGAGGCCCTGAGGTGTGACGCGTGACCGCCTATGGAAGGTTCCTGCTGTGACGAATGCGCATCACCCCAGGAGCTCACCCAGCAGGACTGCATTTGTCACAGTGCGGAGGCCTGAGGTCCGGTCAACCCCCAGGAGCACCCGTCTGTCCCCTTTAGTTCCCGGTGGCGGCAGGCTTTGGCTTTTGGCTGCATCCCTCCCATGGTCGGGGCATCCCCACGCGCCTCGGCCCCTTTCCACACCGCCCGCTCTGGGGGTGCCCCCCCGCCTCCGTGTGATGGCATCTGGCTGCCGCCCGGGGCACAGAGAAGTGCCCCATTGTGGGCGAGCACAGCCCACGCAGCCCCAGCCCACCTGCAACCGCCTTTTCCCAAATACACCTCGGCCCGCTCGGGCTCCGGGGGGCAGGGCCCGTATGTTGGGGTCCGGGGCCCCGACGGCCTGCAGAGGCCCCGACCGGGCTCCCCTGCAGCACAGGACTCAGTGGCCTCTTCCCTCGCTTTTCCCCGTGGGCCTGGCAGGCAGCCCAGGGCTTGGAGCTGACGCGAGGGTGGCAAACGTCTGTGGGCAAGGTTGGGACAGCTGGAGCGGCAGCAGGGAGGGAAGAGGGACCCACGCGTGAGTGTGGACTCTGGAAGTGGGCGGAAAAAATCCGAGGGCGGCTGGCGGGACAGCAGGACCCAGAGTGGCAGGCGTGTTCATGCCACGTTGAGGAGCCTAGACGCTGTTCCGACGCCGAGGAGCTCCTCGTGCGGTCCTTGCACTCGGTGACTCGCTGGTCCTTCCTGTCCTCAACAGCACAGCCCAGGGCTTGGCCCTGCGGGGGAGGGGACAGGCCTCCTGCCCTGCTCTCACACGCCCACCTACATCATAAACACAGGGGGATGCAGATAAGCAGCTGGCACAGGTGAGCACAGGGGCTGCAAGTGCGGTTTGCAGGGCAAGGGCGGGCTGGAGGCGCAGGGGGGGTCGAGGCTGCAGCGGAGACCCAAAGGCCGTCCTCTGCCCGCAGAATGCTCTCCTCATCTTTCTTTCCTAAGGACTTCAACTGATTAGGTGTGGCCCACCCACACTGCAAGCAGTGATCGGTTTTACTCAAAAGTTTACTGATTCGGACATTACTCTCACCTAAAAGGTATCTTCGGGGCAACGTCTAGGCTGCCATATGACAGAGCTGGGTACCACGGCCTGGCCACCGCGACAGAAACGCAGCGCCTCGCACAGAACGCAGCACATCACGGCTGCCGTACTCCTGGTACGTTCAGATCCACGATGTTGGGCCTCCGTGGACTGCCCCTTGCACCGTTGCCTAATATCCCTGTTCGTTCCCGTGAACGCTTTCGGTCTTGAATTCCTCCCTGGAGGCCACTGATTGGCCATTCTTGTCATTTTTGAATTTCAATTTTCAGACGTCGTGCCCTTTGACCTCTACTTCTCATCAGTTGGGGAGCATTTACTGTAAACAGCACTTTATTGGATTTTTAGTTTTACCCCAACCTTACAGGCTTTTGATGGGAAGTTCGGCCCGTTCCCTTTTTTAAAAAAAAAAAAAAGAAAAGAAAGCCGACATGCGTGGTTTTATTTATTTCTCTTCCCTTTGTGTTTACTTGGACTGAACTTTGTTACCGCTGTCATTTCCTCCTTCCTTAATTTCGCTTTCCTGCTCGTTCTCTACACCGCCGGCCACCCCCTCCCTGAATGCAGAAGTTCTATTCTGCTTTTTTTCCAGGACTTGCCTCTCCCAGTTCCTGATATTTATAATCACGCCGCTTCTCCCCCGTGATCGCAGGAACAGGCGCGGTGGCCGCAGCCCCGGAGCCTCCCCTGTCCCACCCGGTCCCCTGCCCCGGCGCCCGCCCTCGCCCAGCAGCAGATGCAAGGGAAGGGCTCCACCGCCCCTGCTCCTCCAACCCCAGGGGCGGCCGAGATTGCTTCTGTGTTTCCTCCCAGATGCGTGTGGGTTTCCCTGAGAGTACGTGGCACAGATTTCAAGAATCCTTACTTAGCGATTATGGTACAAAACCCCAAGCATATTTAGATAAACCTGAGTATTCTGCAAGGCTCACAGCTCACCACCATTTCCTGTTCTGGGCTCTGCTCTCTCTTTCACCGTCTCCGCTATAGTTGACTTGGTGACAAAACCTCCCACGGGGACCCTCTGTGCATCTTGGTCTTGCCGTGGGGATATTTTCCATCTTGTTCCCCAGCAGAGGAATTCATCATAGCGTGGGGGGGGGGGAGGCTTGTTGATCAGATAAACGGAGTCCCTGGAAATTGTTCTCAAGTCCCCCAGGAGCTAGCACCACGCTGACTCTCAATGTCACTGGTTCTTTCTGGAACTCTGCAGGACTCCCTCCCTTTCTGGGATGGTAGAGCTTCAGCCCCAGACGTGCAACTCTGGCCTTTCTCGCACTCCCAGCGGCTACACCTCCTGGGACTGCCCGCAGCCCCTCGCTTTCCCCTGGAGGATCTCCACATGCTTTTCCTCCATCTCGGAAGGTATTTGCTCCACGTCATCAACCCGTTTGCTCATTTTCCTTGCCTCAAGGGCTGTTCTTCTGAACCTGCCTGTGACGTTCAAGGCCTTTCGCTCCAAGCAGCAGGTTAAGTGCCTCCAGGCTTGGCCTGGGCTGCTCGGCCCTTACCCTTCCTCTGCTTATGAGACCCCTCAGAGGGGAGGGTCTTGGCTTCTCTGGGCTGTGTGAGGCCCATAGGGACCGGGCATGGTGATCCCCCCCACCCCCGGGGTGGAGGAGGAGCCATTTATGTTCCTGTAGACACCAAGAAAGAGTCGGCGAGGCGCTCCCAAATCCCCGGAGGAAGGCCGTCTGCCCCAGCCTCCCGGGTGTGAGGAGGCCTGCCGGCCCCCAAGCCTGGGCTGCCTGAGCTTTCCGGGTGGGCCCCCATCCTGCAGGCTGAAGGGGATGACAGGCGGGAAAGACGGTAGGTATAAAAGAGCTCATCCTGTGGGTTTTCAAGGAGCCTAAGGAGCCCAATAGACGAGTGAGAGAGCAGATGCTTTTCAAAATTAAAAAAACCTGAGAAGTCTAGCCTCACTAGTTTCCATGGGAATGCATACGGCAAAGGCAAGGAGACCATTTGTCACTTACTGTAGTGGGAAAAGGGTAAACCAGGTAGCTCCCCGTGCCAGTGTGCACCCCTCAGCGGTGCGCGGGAGACAGTAGTGAGATGGGTTTTGGTAAAAATGTACCTAGAGACCTGATAAAGCCTATCAGGATCAGAACTTCTCTTTCCAGGACTTTGCCATACTGAAGCAGGCATGTGTGCACATGTGCGGTGTCACCGCAGGGACCTTTGGAAACCCCTTCTTCAATATGCACCGATCCCAAAACGTGGACAGTAATAGTCCTTGAGTGATTTCTTTCTTCTTTCTACCTTTTGCAATTCTCCAAATTTTCTGTCATCAGTACATTATAAGAGGGGGAAGATTTCTATGTGGCATTGGGCAAATAACCTTCTATGCCTGAACCTCAATTTTCTGATCGATGAAAATGAGCTCCATGCCACTTGTCTCAATGCCACACTCATTAAGGATGCAGTGAAAACCCTCAATGCGTGAAAGGCCCCCAAACTGAGAACCTGGGGCGGAGGAGGTGCTGCTCTGCTCGGTACCCATTTCCTTCCTTCCCCTGTGGGCCTCAGAGCCTTCGATGAGAAGGGGGGCAGCTGGAGCATCAGAGGAGGTGACTGTTAGGAACCACGCGGCTCTGACGAAAGCCCTTGGGGCTGTGTGTTCTGAGTATACAATCCACCCTCAAAACCATCTGGGATGTTTTGGCTCCCCACCTGTTGGTGACATATCTCTGGCAGTCACTCTGAAACGGGTTCTGTAATGATGACCCAGGACAGGCATCAAGCTTGGCTACAAGGACCAGATGCAGAGCAGATGCAGCCCTCCCCCCAGGGTGGGGGTGGGCGCCAGCCAGGAGAGCCTGACTCGGGGAGCCTGCACCCCCACCTGCAAACTACACCTTCTCAGACCTAGGGCACCACTGAAAGAGGAGAGTTTCCAAACTGCCTGAGCCTTGCACCATCCCCGGGGCTGATTTGTTAAACGAATCTCGTAATTACCTTGTAAAAAGCGTGCATCTAACTCCGTGCATTTAAAGCTGCACTTGGAAAAAAAAAAAGAAAAAGAAAAAAAAAAAGCTGCACTTGGTGACTTGCACACATTTAAACGGGCCATTTTCTCTATCCCTGCTGCTGAATGAGGGGAGCCCTCTGGGTCTCTGACAGGGCTGGAGCTAAGCGGTGAGGTGCCCAGCAGGCCCTGTTAATGTGGCCATAGAAATGATCATGAGGGGCATCCCTGGGGGGCTCAGCTATTTGTTGCCGGCTTCGGCCCAGGGCGTGACCCCAGGGTCCCGGGATGAGTCCTACATGGGGCTCCCTGCATGGAGCCTGCTTCCCCCTCTGTGTCTCTGCCTCTGTCTCTCTCTGTGTCTCTTATGAATAAATAAATAAAATCTAAAAAAAAAAGTAAAGAAATGATCATGGACCTGAAGTTGGGGACGTTGGGGCCAGAGAGGTGGGTGAAAGGTGGCCCGAGTCTTGTGCAAGGGCCCAGCCACCTGTTAACAGATAGAGAGGCCAAGGGGCCTAGATCTGAGCCTGCCGCCTCGGCAGGGGGCGGGGCCTCGGGTACGTGGGGGCGGGGCCTCTCTGGCGGGGGCGGGGCAGGGGCGGGCCCTCGCTGGGTGGGGCGTGGCTGCAGCCAGGCGGGGCGGAGCCGGGGCCGACTCGGTTCGGAAACTTTCGCTGTGGGCGGGTCGGATCCTCCAGGAGGCGGCCGGCGGCGGCCAGGCGAGGCGCCCCGTGATTGGCGGAGGCGCGCGGTGATTGGCAGGCGCGCCGGCCGCTCCGCGGGCAGAGCCGGCGCCGCGTCTTCCGAGCCGCGTCGGGAGTGGAGGTCGGCCCGAGGCCCCGCCCCCGCGCTGGCCCCGCCCCGCGCTGGCCCCGCCCCGCGCTGGCCCCGCCCGCGCTGGCCCCGCCCCTCCCCGCCCCGTGGGGGCCGCGCTCGCAGGCGCTCCCCGCCGCTCGCGTCGCCGGCTCTGCAGGCTCGTCCGCTCCGCCCCGGGGCGTCCGGCTCTCGCGAGCGGCGCCGCGGCAGGCCCGGAGCCCGAGGGCGTCGCGCGGCCCACTCGCGGCCGGTGAGTCCCCCGCGGCGGGCGAAGGGCGGCGGGCGCTGGGAGGACAGCCGGGAGGCGCCGCCCGCCGCGGGCCTCAGTTTCTCCACCTGCGCAGCGGCCCCAGCGGGTCCCCGGGAGGCGGGGGCGGGGCCTGCCGGGGGGGGGCGCTCTCGGCCCTCGCGGGGCCCCGCGGCTCCGAGCACCGGGAGGCGGCGGGGCGGGGGGGGGGACCCAGGGCGCCCCGGGGGGAGGGGGACAGGGGGCGGGGGAGGGGGAGGGGTCCCGCCCGCACAGCCCGCCGGGGGGTCAGGGGGTCAGCGCGGCGCGTCCCCAGGGCCCCTCCCGCTGCGGGGCGAGCAGGGGCAGCGCAGGGGCGGCGAGGCCCGGCCTCCGTCCTCCACGTTGGTCCTGTCGTATCAGGTGGAGACTTTGGGAGGGATGTCGCCCAGCCCTGGGGATGCGGGGAGCAAATCCCCCAGCGTCGGGGTGTGGGCCTTTGCAGTGTCAGGGGAGCAGGAATCAGAGCCCCAGGGGCTGGGGTCAGCGGGGGCGCGGGGAGGCTGGGCCCGACCAGGAGGAGCTGGAGGAGGAAGCCCGGCCCCGCCCCTCACCTTGCGCGGTGACCCCTGGCCCCTGGCCTGCTCGCTAAGGGCTCTCCCTGCTGCTGGCAGCATCTGTCACTTGCAGGTCCCGGGCACCCTCTCTGCTGCCCACCAGGGAGCCTCGTCGGCAGAAGCCCGGGGCAGGCTCCCCGCTGTCCAGTCCTGGTCCCGCGTCCCCAGGGGCTGAGTCTCAGGGCAGCCCCAGGTGTCTGACCCGAGACTTAGAGGAGGGCTCCTCATATCCCTGCTCCTTAGGGGCGCCACCCCCCATGCAGATGGACCTCTGAACACAGGGAGGGATGCTGGGGACGGAAGACTGCCTGGAGGGCTCCTTGCTCACGCCTTCCAGCCCCTCCCGCGCCAGAGCTGGACAGGCCCCGGGGGCTGGCGACAGAGGGGTCCCTGGCTCACCCCTGGCCCAGAGGTACCTGAGCTCTGGGACGGACACCAAACCAGGGCCAGGACGATGATGCTAAGGATCATAGGAGGGAGGGAGCTTTATATGGCCCCTGCCCTCTCCCACATCCCCAGCATGGAACATGGCACCGCTGCCGTGGCCCCAGCCACAAGCCAGGCCTCCTCGGGGGGGCCCCCCCTCCCCCCACGTTCAGTTGCCGACACTCTTCTCTCTCCTGGGCCCAGAGCCACAGGCAGATGCCTGCCCTGGACCAGGCCTCCTTAGCTTCCCCCGGAGGGTCACCAGCCCCTTCCCTGGTGTCCCCGCCCTGTCCCCACACACCCCAGTGGTTCTGTAACTGTCACTTCCCTCTGGGCACCGTCCTCCTGCACTCCTGGCCCCACGCTGCACTCTGGCTCTGAGGCCCGGCGCCCATTCAGGCCCGAGGCTCCTGCCCTAGCTGCCCACACTCCCGGGGGTCACTTCCCAGCCTCCCGCCCTTCCTGGCCACTTCGCAGGTCACTCTCCCTCCACTGCCTTTTCTTCTGGGCAGTTCCCTGTTGGGGTGCCCACACTCCTCCGTTCCTCTTTCCTGCCATCCTCGCTTGCCTCACGCCTGCTTGTCCTGAAGGCTGAGTCAGGGCCTCCTTCTACCGTCCCTACCTTGCTTCCCAAAGCTGACTGAGAACCCCCCTTGGGGTGCCTGCGCCCCGAATGCTGCTCCGTCTTTGTAGCCGCCTGTTTAGGTGTCCTCCCCCTGGGCGTGAGCTGCTCAGAGGCCAGCCCTACAGAAGCGCTCTGGGGCAGGGAGGCCCTGCACAGTGCGTAGCAAGGGGTCGTCCCACAGTCCAGGTGTGCTGACCCGCCGGGGCCGGGCGCAGAGCAGGGGCTGCGCATGCAGTGCGGGCTCAGCCTCTGGGCATTGTGCATGGCTGTCCTTGACCAAGGGTTGGGCATTCTCTCCTGCCTCCCACTTTCTGTGAACTTGGCATGTTGAGTGGAGTCGGAATGTTCCTTGCTTGGGCCCTTAATACTCTGGGGCAAAAATAGGTATCTGGGAGCCTCCAAGGGCTCTGTGCCCTTGTCTTGAGGAGCAGCCCTGTGCCTGGGGCTGGGCTGGGCCGCACTGGAGCAGACCTCCCAGACCTTGGGAACCCCCAGCCCTTTCCCTCAGGGCTCAGGCACAGATGCGTTTTAAAATCTAGCGGGATCCCTGGGTGGCGCAGCAGTTTGGCGCCTGCCTTTGACCCAGGGTGGGATCCTGGAGACCCGGGATCGAATCCCGTGTCGGGCTCCCAGTGCATGGAGCCTGCTTCTCCCTCTGCCTGTGTCTCTGCCTCTCTCTCTCTCTCTCTGTGACTATCATAAAAAAAAAAATTAAAAAAAATATCTAGTTTAATTTCCTTTTTTTTTTTTAAGATTTTATTTATTTATTCATGAGAGACACAGAGAGAGGCAGAGACACAGGCAGAGGGAGAAGCAGGCTCCCTGCGGGGAGCCCAATGTGGGACTCGATCCTGGGACCCCGGGGTCACGGCCTGAGCTGAAGGCAGATGCTTCATCGCTGAGCCTCCGGGGGCCCCGACTTTGTTTTAATTTCCAAAGCCGTATACAGCTGTTAGAGAAAATAAGGGAAATACGTTTAGGAAAAGAATAGACTAAAGCCGCGAATCATCCGTGCACCCAGAGAGAGCCAGTCCTAACAGGCCAGGGGGCACCTTCTTTCCTCTTTTCTGCAGGGAGGTTTTTCCTTTCATTCTCAAGACACTGGAGGATAATTCTCAGGCTGCTTTAAATCCCGTTTAACAGTGTTTTACCAACAGCTGGCTGCGCCTGGAACGTTTATTTGTGTACAGGTTGCGGTGACGGTCTGTGGAGGTCGCCGCGGGCGGAGGGGCTGTAGGGTGCCCCTCTGGATGGTGCCGGTTTGCCCCGAACGCCTGCGAGCGTCCCTGCCTACTCCCCTGGGCCGGGCTTCTGGTGCGAGGCTCTGGCCAGAAGGCGCTCAGTGACCTTACAGCTTCCCGTGAGGGGTGCCTCAGAGGTGGGCTGCCCCCTCCCCCACCAGGGCAGCGGAGCGGGGCCTTGCTGCACACGGGTTAGAGCCTTTGGGGCAGAAGGCCACACGTGGTCACTGTGCTGCACGTGTCCGGAGACGCGCGGGCGGCAGCTCCTCAGCCGAGCTCCAAGCTCCGTGGTGCCGGTAGTTTGTGTTTTGTTGGGATAAAAATATGCCTTGGTGCTCACGGGGAAAGAATGTCAGCACTTTGCTTCTCTGGATCTTGCACAGTGACAGGCTCTGAGCGACGCCGCTCTGGCCTCAGGTGGCAGGGGGTGGACTGCCCCCCTCCGCGCGGGCTGCGGGGATCTATGGGAAGATGCACTTGTCCTGCAGCCGCGGTCTGGGGCCTGGGGGTGCTGCTCAGTCACACGCAGGGCCCCATGTTGCCCAGCTGAGGCTCTTCCTGAGCCCGGGCCGTTCCCGGGCGGGCAGGGCAGCGGGTGTTCTAGGTGAAGGCGGGCGCCCCTGCCCTCAGGGCACCCAGGATTACCGGGGAGAGAGCTTGTTATGGCAGGAAAGGCCAGACACGGCGAGTGTGCGGGGCGGGGGGGGGGGGGGGGGGGGACAGCGTGTGACCGTGCCCGTGACCCCGCCGTGCAGCGATTCGTCTTGTTGACCTTCACATGAGAGGCTCTTCTGACCAACTCAGAGAACCTTCATGCCTTCCTACTCACCAAGATTTTGCTCGAACTAGTCGTTTGACTGCAAGCGACGTGGGACCCCAGCCCACAGGCAGCCCACGCGTGCCCTGCGCCCCAGAGGACGGGTTTCTACGCACGTGCCCTGGTTCAGCCCCGGGAGATCCAGCCTGGGTCAGGGGCGCTGGATGCTTTAATGTTTTAGGGTGTGCGGACCATGTCCTCGCCCTCACACCCTCAGTCCCCGGCCCGACACGGGGGCGTTACCCCTCGTGCAGACCGGGAGGCCGAGGCGCACAGAGGCTGAGTGGCCCTGGGCCTGGGCACAGTGGGACTCGTGTCCCGTTGGCCTGCGCCGTCCCTCCCGCCCGAGGCCTGGGGGCCACTACCCGCAGCAGGGGACCTTCCAGGAGGGAGGCCCAGGGCCCTCGGCTCAGCCGGCGTGGGAAGAGGGGCTGGCGTGCAGGGTGGATGGAGCGGGCGGGAGGCGGCCAGGGCTGGAACACAACAGCCCCCACCTGGATACAGGCTCTGCGTGGGATTCCAGCTCCACAAGCCCGTGGCTGCCAGCACGGCTCCACCTTCCCCACCCGCGTTTCCTCATCCGTGAAACAGGCCGAGGTTGGATTGAAGCTTAAGCTGCCCGCCCATCAGGCACACTGGCCGGCAGTGGTGCCTGTACCCCGGGCCGCATGGGACGCCCCAGGAGCCCCCAGACACATGCCCATCCCTGCTGCTATTCATGAGCCTGGGCCTGGCACAAGTGGGCGTCCCCAAGGCCAAGGGGGTGGTGCTTGGCCTGGGGGCGGGGGCTGGGACTGGCCCCGTGGGGCCTATAGAGCGGACGTGCTTGCCGCCTTGCGCCTTGCGTAGGGGGTGACCCGTGTGGCCCCACCTGCACTGGCTCCAGGAGCCTTCTGGTCCACGCATGCGGCTGAAGCACGGGGTTCACGGGAGTCGCCTCTGTGTTTGGTCCCTAAGGCCTGAGGCCAGGTGGCAGCTGGGAGCAGTGAGCTGATGGCAGGGGGCTCCTGGGGCTGCCCATGTCCCCGCCGTGCCCCGGGATGTCGCAGGACACGGATGCCGTCCCTCGGGGGTAGGAATGCCCAGACTGAAGTTTGTGGGGTTGTTCGGTGGACGCAGATCCCGTGTTGGGGACCCACGGTGGCTGGGGGACAGGGTGGGCAGGGCCACGTGGTGCCTGGGCCCCTGCCCCTTCCTGTGTGGCAGCCGGTGATGGAGCCGGGCCCAGGTGCCGCCCGCCGCGTCCAGTGTCATCTGGTCCTCGCGGCCCCGCACTGGGACGCTTGTCCCACCTAGGTGGCCTGCCAGGGATGCAGGGCAGCCTCTCCCTGCTCCACGCTCACGATCCTGGGCTGGGTGACAAGGGCGGCCGTGGCCTTGATCCGGGGCGGCTCGCAGCGTCTTCTCAGAGTCTGACGGGCCACCCCGGGCCCGGGCACACGTGTCGTCCGACGGCTCAGGGGTGCTTGGCCCCGGGTCCGCCCGCCCGTGGGGCTCCTCCCTGAGCTTCCAGCCGGCTCTGTGGCCCTGGTACTTCCTGCCATTCTGCCGCGGGCCGTAGGGTCCCCTGACTGAGCCCCGCCCGGGTCCCCGAGGGCCGCAGAACCCTCATTCCCTGTTCCTGGGCCTCTGCCCGTACCAGGCTGCGCACCACTCACCTGCCCAAGCCGTTGGCGGGCCCTCCTCCCCGCCTCCCCCCACCCCAACCCCTCCCCACCTCCCCCTCTTCCTCCCATCCCTCCTTCCCGCCTCCCTGCCTCTCCCTCCTCCCCTCCTCCCTACCCTCACCCCTCCTCCCCACCTCCCCACCCCTCCTCCGCATCTCCCTGTACCCCTCCCCCCTCCCAGCCCCCCAGCCCTCCCCTCCTCCCCCCCAGCCCTCCCCTCCCCACCTTCTCTTCCTCCCTTCCACTTACCTTCTAACATTTATGAACTTTTTCTCTGTGGTTGGTTCCCTCTGGGGGCTCCAAGGTCATCCTTCCCGCCCTCCCTCTGGGCTTCTGGTGAAGGCTCATGACCCTCAGTGGCCCGTGGTTGCAGCTGCATTTCCTGTCCCCAGCGCCATCTTCACGTGGTGCTCTCTCTGTGTCCCTGTCTCCTTCCTCCTCTTGTCAGGACACTGGTCATGGGATCAGGCCCACCCACAACCAGGGTGATCTCATCCCAAGATCCTTAATCACACCTGCAAATAGGGTCACTTTCATGGACGGGGGTGGACATACGACGTGCAGGCCACCCTTCCGCCCCGAGCCAGGCACCGTTCTCAGCTCCATGTGGAGCATCTCACTGGAACCTCACAAGGTTGCACCGTTCCTGCCACTCAGATGAGGACACTGGGGTCGCATGGCGCGTGCCCGGTGAGGCTGGACTCCAGGCCTCGGGACGGAGGGCCCGAGCTCATGACTGCTGTGGGGCCTATAGAGCCAGAGGCCTCGAGGGAATTTCTTCCCTCGGTTTCCTCATGTGTTAAAGTGGGAAGGTCTAGGTGACTATTGTGAGGTCGAGGGAGATCCCTCATAGACCAGGAGGCAACCCCACCCATCCCTTTCCTGTCCCCTCTCCGGCTGGGCCTGGCACCCTATGTCTGACCCTCGGCTTTTCTCTCAGGCAGGATGGACGCCAGCACCCCCCCTGCGAGCCCCTCTGGCCCACAGCCTCCGCCACCGCAGCCCCACGCCCGCTCGCGGCTCAATGCCACTGCCTCGGTGGAACAGGACGAGAGGGGGGCGCCCCATGCTCCAGGACCAGATGCGGCCAACGCGGCTGCCCCCGCTGCGGCCCGGGCCCCGAATGCTCAGAGCCAGGAAAGGGCAGACAGAGCAGGTAAGGGGCTGGGGCTGCAAGCTGACCGTCCTCAGCGCCACCAGCGCTGCATGAAGCCAGGCGAGCGGCGAGTCCGGCACATGGCCTCCTGCGGGGCAGGTCCCTCGGGCCCTCTTGGCGATGAACGGCCTGGGGCCTAGCAGGTGTCACGGTTCCGTCTTATTTATGACGTGACGGCTCAGAGCCGACCTGTGCACGCCCTGGGCCAGCGGGTGGTCCCCACCAGGACCACGGAGGGGCAGGAGGGCAGCCCCTCCATGTGGGTCCCACCCAGCATGGGGAAGCCCATGTTCCCCTGCCCATTGTGGCCGCCCCTCGGGGCCGTTGGGCCAGGCAGTCCCCTTGGTCCGGGAGCGGCAGAGACACTCCCCTTCAGGACCAGCTGCCACTTGGAGTCGCCTGGGCCCAATCCCCAGTGCCCTGTGGATCACTGTCCTCCATCCTCAGGCCGGGCTGCTTGGGGCAACCCCCACCCATGTCTCTGCTCCCTTAGGGACCTTCCAGGGGTAGGGGTGAGGTGGTGTGAGGACCGGAGTGGGACAGAGTGTTCATGGGACCCCTCGGTGAATCTGGGCAGGGTGCTAGGGCTGGGTCATGGGGCCCCTCGGCGAATCTGGGCAGGGTGCTAGGGCTGGGTCATGGGGCCCATCCCTGAATCTGGGCAGGGTGCTAGGGCTGGGTCATGGGGCCCCTCGGTGAATCTGGGCAGGGTGCTAGGGCTGGGTCAGGGGACCCCTCGGTGAATCTGGGCAGGGTGCTAGGGCTGGGTCAGGGGACCCCTCGGTGAATCTGGGCAGGGTGCTAGGGCTGGGTCATGGGGCCCGTCCCTGAATCTGGGCAGGGTGCTAGGGCTGGGTCATGGGACCCCTTGGTGAATCTGGGCAGGGTGCTAGGGCTGGGTCATGGGGCCCCTCGGTGAATCTGGGCAGGGTGCTAGGGCTGGGTCATGGGACCCCTTGGTGAATCTGGGCAGGGTGCTAGGGCTGGGTCATGGGACCCCTTGGTGAATCTGGGCAGGGTGCTAGGGCTGGGTCATGGGGCCCCTCCCTGAATCTGGGCAGGGTGCTAGGGCTGGGTCATGGGGCCCCTCGGTGAATCTGGGCAGGGTGCTAGGGCTGGGTCAGGGGACCCCTCGGTGAATCTGGGCAGGGTGCTAGGGCTGGGTCATGGGGCCCGTCCCTGAATCTGGGCAGGGTGCTAGGGCTGGGTCATGGGGCCCCTCGGTGAATCTGGGCAGGGTGCTAGGGCTGGGTCAGGGGACCCCTCGGTGAATCTGGGCAGGGTGCTAGGGCTGGGTCATGGGGCCCGTCCCTGAATCTGGGCAGGGTGCTAGGGCTGGGTCATGGGACCCCTTGGTGAATCTGGGCAGGGTGCTAGGGCTGGGTCATGGGGCCCCTCGGTGAATCTGGGCAGGGTGCTAGGGCTGGGTCATGGGGCCTCTCCCTGAATCTGGGCAGGGCACCAGGGCTTGGTCAGGCCTCCATGCTCCCCAGCGCAGCCCTCAGTGGCCACGGGCGGCACAGGTGAGTCAGGTGTGCCCCGACCCCAGCCAGGCACAGTCGGGGTTGCCATAGAGGGAAGCCTTGGGCTGGGAGGGCTTGTGCTTTGGGCCTGGGAGCTGGGTGGCGGGACCCTGCTGTGTGGGAACAGGGGAGGCCCAAGTGAGTGAGTGGTGGGGGCGCTGGCAGGAAGGGGCACCCCCCGGGTCCGGGGTGGGGTCGGCGTGGCCCACGAGCCCCGGGCCCCCAGTCCAGGTGGGGGGCTCAGGGGGATAATGGGGCTGCGTCAGGCCTGTGATGGAGACACAGCCGCTGGGAGGAGCCGTCGCCTGGCCGCCGCTGACACTGCTCCTGCTCTAGGGGCCGCAGGAGGCAGCGCTTGGGCCTCACCGGGCACTCCAGGCCTGTGGCTTGTGGGGAGACGGGCTGGTACCACACGCCTTGGGGTGCCTCACCCCATGATTTCCCTGCGTCTTCCTGTCGCCCCGCCCGCCAGGCACCCGCAGGCTCCCGTTCCCACATGGGGCTCTTGCCGGCCCACCCAGAGCTCCGGTCCTGCTGCCGTGCCTGGGGTGCTAGGGCCCGACACCCACACACGTGGACTCTCGGTGGGAGCAAAAATGTCCCGAACTCCACTCTCCTTGCCGTGCATGCTGCCGGCCGACTGGGCGTCGGGCCTTTCTGTGCAGGGGCCGCGCCGCGTGCAGGCAGGGAAGTGGGCTGTGGTCTGCGGTGTGGGCACCTCGGGGTGTAGAGCCCACGCTGCGTGCGGCGCTGCCCGCCGTCTGGCTCCAGGGCCAGTTCTCGGTGAGCCTCTCCCAGCCGGGCCCCCCCGGAGCTCGTGTCTGTCCCCACGCACCGCGACTCACAGGTCATCGGGCCCTGGGATGGGCCGGGAAGGGCCAGCGACAGCTGCGGTGGGACCCTTGGGCTGCGTGCCCTTGGGGAGTCAGGAGGCTGCAGGCGCCCACGTGTGCATCTGTGAAGGGCGAGAGCACCGCAGCCGTGAGGAGTCGCGCGGGGGTCGCACCGGTGCCAGGACCGTGCGCATCGGGTGACATTCCTCAGGCCCCCGCGCGTGCAGGCGGGTGCTGAGTCGGGCCCCCACCCCGCGGGCACCGATACGCTTCCTGAACGTCCCCAGGCCGCCTGACCCCGGTTCAGACTTCCTGGGGTCCCCCCTCCTGAACTCCTGTTCGGTGACTGGTGTTCCTGTGAGCTTGGGGCCGTGAGTGTCCAGCGCCCGTGTGTGCACACGTCTCCCGGGAGAGCCTTGTTGGCTATAGCCCAGCTGTGAGCACGTGTTCAGGAGCCGGGTGCGGCTGCTTTTGCCACGTGCTCCATCCCTACAGGCGCCCAGGACACGGGGACCCCTGTATCCCCGGGCTTGGCAGGAGGCCTTGCTCCCCCAGATGGCCCGCACGGTTGACACAGTCCAGCGCCCACTGCCCCAGGCCACACCTGCGCTGCCCTTTCTCCTTCCTCTAGAGGTCGCTGCTCCAGACGACCGCCGCCAGCTGAGCAGTGCGGCCTGTGCAGCCCAAGCCCCCTACGAGCACCTGCTGTGGGCGTCTGTGTGTACCCTGTGGCCGGCCCTGTCCCTGGGCCCCGTCACACCCCCTCACGGCGGCTGGTGCGGGAAGCTCTGTGTGGCCCCACGTAGAGACAAGGACGTGGAGGCACAGACGTGCCCCAATGGCCAACGCTGAGTGACCCGAGGCTCCAGGTTAAGGGCGGCCGAGCCCGGTGGAGATGGAGCCCGGTGGAGATGGAGCCCGGTAGCTGCGGGCCTGGGGCTCCCCTGCGCAGGTCACGCGGGGCCATGGCCTGGTTTATTCCAGAAACACGGCCTGTCCTCGGGCGCTCCTGATCCCTGCATCTCCTTGAAAGGTCACCGTGTTCTCCGCTGTTTCCGAGGCCTCCGGGCCGCTGAGGGGTCCTGACCCTGGGCTTTCGGCCACACACGCCTCGCGGCTGCCGAGCACAAAAGCCAGGGCTGGAAACACACTTGGTTTCAATCTGAGTGTGCAAACGTCCCGGGAGGGCAGTCAGGACTGTAGGTTTCACGTAAGAGGAAACAGCGGTGGCCTGTTGGCCGCCTGCCCCCAGGAGCAGGAGAGACGCCGGCCCGGTGGTCCTGTGGGGTGGGGTCCCACTCCGTGTCCTCTGTGTCTCTGCCAGCCCTACACAGCCCGAGAGCACATGTCCCTGCTCCTTCCTCACCTGCACGTCTGCACGGGCAGGGAGACCCAGGTAGGCACTTCCAGGTCCCGGGGAGCGGGAGTGAGGCAGCACCGCCGCCCAGCTGGGCCCCCTGCGTTAGCCCCCCACTTCTCTAACTCAGTCAGACAAACCCGGGGGACGGCAAGGCCCCGGCCGGGAAGCCGGGAGCTCGAGATGGGCGCACACGCCGGGACGGTGCTCGTCGGAGGGCTGCGGGGCCTCTCCCCAGGGACCCCGGTGCTGGCCCAGGGCAGGGACGCTGAGCTGCCAGGACGCTCCCCCCAGTGCTGCTGGGGACCCATGCAGCGGGGGCGGAGACGGTATGGCAGGCGGGCCCTGCCCTCCGGGGGCCCCTGCATGTGCTCTGGGCGCTTGGGGCTCCAAGAGGGAGGCCCCAGGGTGGGGGTCAGGGTACGGGTCAGGGCGGCCGTGCCCTCGGGGCTCGTGATATGGAGAGGGTGTTGGGGAGCCTTAGAACATTCCACACGAGGGCCCTGCGGCTGTGCTGGCCCGTAGTCCGTGGCGGGGCGGGTGGAGAGGGGCCGCAGGAAGCCAGGCGGGCCTCCAGGTGTCCGGCGGGAGCCGCAGGTAGGGGCCGGGGTGGGGGGCTCAGCACTGGGCGGCCAGCCCCCTGCCGCTGTGGGGTCCTAAGGCGCAGAGCGTGGAGGCCCCGGGTCAGGCACCTGCTGGCGGCACCTGCTGGCAGCGGACAGGTCGCGGCTTGGTTCTCCGCTCTGGTCACATGGGCCAGGGGCACCCGAGGGACTTTCTACGATGCTGGTGCGAGCCCTGCTCCCCTGGTTCCTGCGCCGGGCCGTGGCCCCATCGCTGGAGGATGTCCTGTCACAGCGCAGATGGCAGCTCAGACGAGGCTCTTTTGGGTGCGGTGCTTTCCTGAGACCTTGAGAGACTTGGCAACCCGCTCTCCTGCTCTCCTCGCTTACCTTGAACTCTGTCTTTGCATTCCCAGCCTCAGGCATTGCTTCCTCCAGGAAGCCGCCCGCCCCCCCCCCAACCTAGCAGCATTGATGACTCCGCCCCCAGCCAGCACTGAGAGATGTCACAGGCCTTCCCGCTCCTGGTACCTGGGGGACTGGCCCCCTCCGGGCACGTCCATCCGTCTGGTTGGGTGTGTGACGAGGAGCTGGGGCCAAACCCCCTTCTCCAGGGAGTCAGGGGAGTGATGACCTGCCGAGACCCCCGGCCTGAGCTCAGCTGGCCCTGGACGGGTGGGGGGAGGAGCTGGGGGCTGCAAATAGTCACCCCATTGTTCATGAAAACCAGAGTCCGAAACCACAAAGGGGGTGAAACCCACGAGGTGCAGGGACCTGGCTCTCTGTGGACAGGACCCCCCACCCCCCGTGTAGACCCCCTGGTGCAGGGACCCGGCTCTCTGTGGACAGAACCCCCCACCCCCCGTGTAGACCCCCTGGTGCAGGGACCTGGCTCTCTGTAGACAGGACCCCCCACCCCTGTGTGGACCTCGAGGTGCAGGGACCTGGCTCTCTGTGGACAGGACCCCCCACCCCCTGGGGGACCCCTGGTGCAGGGACCCAGCTCTCTGTGGACAAGACCCCCCACCCCCCTGGGGGGTATCCCTGGTGCAGGGACCCGGCTCTCTGTGGACAGGACCCCTGACCCCTGTTTGGACCTCGAGGTGCAGGGACCCAGCTCTCTGTGGACAGGACCCCCCCACCCCCCTGAAGGATCCCCTGGTGCAGGGACCCACCGGGATGAGCACACACGATGTTCCCTGGCTGGGTTCCACCCGGCCCTTTCCTACAGCACCACCCCCGCCCCCCAACCCTTTCTTACAGCCTCCCTCTCCCCATGGAGGGCGTCCTGGGCGGGGCCAGGGCCGGGGCGGGTGCAGGCGGTTGCAGGGGGGGCGGAAGCTGAGCTGGCACTGCTGTCTGAATTCGGCAGGTCGTGCCCGCAGGTCAGGTGTGCTCCCCTCTCTGAGCCACGCACGGCCGCACAGTTGCACGGGGAGCAAGGGCCCGGCGCCCGTCCTGCCCCCCCACCCCCGGTCTGCGGGTGCTGATCGCCAACCAAGCCCCGAGGCCCCGGGCACGAGGGAAGGGCGACGTGCCTAGGCCATGCCGGGCAGGGCAGGCAGCGCACAGTCCCGGGGCATAGGGCACCCGCTGTGTTCCGGCCGTGCCCCTGCAGGACCCTGGGAGACGCAGGCCCGGACGCGGGGCTGGGGGCCCTGGTGAGAGGCCCGGGGGAGCCCACAGGAAGTCAGCCCTTGGGGGGCGGCACAGACTCCCAGGGGTGAGGGGCGCATCCCTGCTGAGCGGGAGCCCTGCAGTGAGGTGAGCGTGCGCGTCCCACGGGTGCCTGGGGCGCCCCGGACCTGCCACCCGCTGAGGAGGGCCGTGGGCCCCGGACACGGATGGGAACACCGCCGTTGCGCTTCCTGCCCGAGGCTGCTGTGGCCCCTAAGGCTGTGGGGCCGGGCTCCCGGGGCCCTGCAAGTCAGAGGCCGCCTTGGGAGGCGGACTGCAGCGTGCCCTGCGTGCCGGGACCCTTCGGGGAGCGCAGCCGGACCTGCGGGAGAACAGCCCCGAGGAAAACACGTGCAAGGGTTGGCGGCACCGTGGGAGGAGACTGGGGGTCGTGGGGGGTGACAGCCCGCAGCTGAGCGCGGCCTCCTGAGCCCTGGGGGTGCTGCAGGCGCCCCGGTTACCGTCCAGCGTGGGGCCCGTGTGAGCGTGCGTCTGAGTGTGTGCACCGACGCTGACCTCCCAGGGCCACGGGACGCCGACGCTGTCCGGGGGGCACGTGCCATGTTCACCGGGGCTCAGGTGCCCCGTAGGTCTGGGCTTCCACGCTGGAGCCAGGATCTTTCTGGAGCCCCACACGAGCAGGCCTGCACCCGGGGTGAGCGTGGGCCCTTCCTGCTGCTCGGAGCTGCCGCCAAGGTTTGGGTGCTGCGCTCCAGGGTGCCTGTGTTGCCCGAAGGCCACGTTCCAGCATATTCCGTCCACATCTGCCCGACGTCAGTGATGGCCCGGGTCGGCCGTGGCCTGCGGGCCTGACGCGCTCCTGTCTTGTGTTACTCAAGGGCCTGTGAAGGCAGATGTGGAGGCGCCCTTTGGAGACGTGCTGGAGAGGGCCAAGGCGGGGGACGCCAAGGCGCAGACAGAGGTGAGCCCGCATGCCGGGGCCCAGCCCTGGGAGCCGGGGGCCCCTCTGGGGGTTCCTCCCAGCCCGCCTGGGGCTCCCCCTCCTCCTCCGGGAAGCCCTCCGTGCCCCTCCTGTCGGCCGGGATGGGGGCCACACCGTCCCTGGGGTCCCCCACGGGCCAGCGGGCGCAGATGCCACGGGGCTCCCTGGCCCGGGCACACGCGGGGCGCCTCGGGGCAAGGCTTCAGCAGGTTCTCGTCACAGGTGGGGAAGCACTACCTGCTCCTGGCGGGCGCCGGGGACGAGGAACTGAACAACTGCACGGCCGTCGACTGGCTCATCCTCGCCGCCAAGCAGGGCCGGCGCGAGGCCGTCAAGCTCCTGCGCAGGTGCTTGACCAACAGGAAAGGTGGGTCCGCGGGAAGTCGCACAGGTGCCCGGCCCCAGGGGCGGGGCTTGCCCGTCAGGTGACGACAGGGAAGTCGGGGAAGTCCGTGCTGCTGCCGCTGCTCCACAAGAGGTGTGGATCTGGTTTCGCTGCGGTTGGCGGTGCCTGCCGTGGGCCGTCCCCCGGTGCGTGTTGGCGTCCTCAGCGCCCTGAGGAGGCGCCACAGCAGAGCCCCCAGACGGCAGCTCCTCAGGAGCGGGCAGAGGCCTGAGGCACGGGGGCCCTTCTGCTCCGGGAGCTTCAGGCTCCGGGAGACGGGAGCGCTTGTCACGAAGGATTTTTTTAAACGAGTTTTCTCAGGCCGGAAAACTGTTTTGTGTTTATTGTACAAAACTTGGAATATAAAGAAAACAGGACACAAATGAGCCGTGATCTTGAAACGCAGACAGAAATGCTCTGAGTTTGCAGTATTTTCTCCTGGTTTGTATCGTGTGTTTAAGAGCCACGTTATCGTGCAGAATCTCCCTTCTTTGGAAGTGGGGCAGATGCCTTTGAGAGCGCGGGACGGCCAGTCTCCGTGGGCTCCCGTCCTGGGCAGGAGCAGGGGCTTTGCGCTGCTGCTGGCCCGAGCCAGTCCATGCGGCCCCCGCGGCTGCGGCCAGCGGTTCCCCAAGGTCGGGAGGGAGCCTGTGGGGCCCGGCGGAGCGCACGTCCTGCAGGGGGCCAGCCGGGGCCCCACGTGTCCCCCACACCCCCCTTTGCCATACCATGTGCTTCCCGGCCTGGAAAGAAATGTGCGCTCGAGGGGACGACTTGGAAGATGTTTGGAAGGATGGAAAGCCCTGTCTCCATCTCCAGCCTCACTGCCCTTGGGGGGGAGCACCGACGGCCCTGACAGTCGGGGGGGAGGCAGCTCCAGCACCCGCGGGACCCGGGCCCACCTCCCTCCACGGCAAGTGGTCTCCTCGGGAAGGGACAGCTGTGCGGGACCCGGATTTCCCAGCCGCCCTGGGGGGACAGAGCCTGGAAAGCGCGCGGAAGAGGCGGGACGAGGCCTGTGATGCCTCCTGTGTCATAGGCATCACTTTTGAGAACGAGCAGGAGGTGAAGCAGCTCTCCTCCGAGACCGACCTGGAGCGGGCGGTGCGCAAGGCGGCCTTGGTCATGTACTGGAAGCTCAATCCCAAGAAGAAGAAGCAGGTGGCCGTGTCCGAGCTGCTGGAGAACGTGGGTCAGGTCAACGAGCAGGGTACGTGAGCCTTACGGGGCCGGGCCTCCCGCGGGGACCTCTGGGCTTCTCTGCTGGACACGGGGGGCTCCCCTGGGAGCCTATGTGGGGTCCTGGGCAGAGACCCCCGAGTCCCCTCTAAGGCCCAGGCAAGCCCCTCTGGGTGTCGTCCTGTCCTGGGGGTGGCCTTCCCGAGCCCTGCTTGAGCTCTGGTGCAGTCCATGGGCAGAGCCACGGAGCTGGTCCTTCCGGGGTGTCCTGCTTCTCTGGTGGGGACGGGGCGCAGTAAGAGGTGCGGTGGGGAGCGGGTCCCCGGATGCCCGGGCTTGTGGGGCGCTGAGCCCACCATGGCTCGACGGCCTCCCTGAGGCAGGCCTCCCCCAGACTCCGCACCAGCAGCCAGCCAGGAGGCCAGGAGGACAGGAGGCCAGGAGCGCAGGGCAGCGGGTGCCCGGCCGGGAGTGGCGGCACTGTTTCCCGGGGCCCAACCCGACTGCCTCTGCGTCCCTGGGGAAGCATCCGCCTGCAGCCGTTGAGGAGGGATTTGTGCCCAGGGCCCCGCCCAGCCCTCTCTGGCCCCCCAGGGCTGCCCCCTGCCAACAGCACAGCAGCAGGGGAGGCTGCTGGGGAAGCCTTTGTCCCCCCCCCCCAGGGTCTCCGGGCAGGACCCCGCCCAGCTAGACCTGCCAAGGACTGGCCTGCTCCCGGGCCGGGGTGGGGGACACTGCTGGGGCGAGCGCAGGGGCCCCGGAGGCCGGGGCTTGGGGGGCAGCACCCTGCAGAGGCGTGCCTGATGGGGCGAGGTCGGGGCTGCCACTGTGGGGTCCTGGAGCCTGCGGTGCCAGCTTGGGCCCCTGCTGCCTGCGCGCCAGACCGTTTCCGTGGTCCTCGGCCTCTCTCGCTCACGCGCCTCCCGCCCGAGCCGGGCCTGCAAAGGCCCCGTGATGCCCGGCGTCAGGAGAACCAGGGCTTGCCAGGCCAGGGCTGTGGCAGGTGGCGGCTGCGACGCGAGGAGAGGATCCTCTGGTCCAGGCTCAGCACTCCGCTGCCCAACGTGGGCGCCAGGGCTAGGGGGACAGGGACAGGCCTGGTGGGAGCCCACTGTACTCCAGGGGACAAGCGTGTGGGGAACGCGGCCAGCAGAGGTGTCTGGGGATGAGTCATGCTGACCAGGGCACCCCTGCGTGTCGGGGCTGCAGGGTCGGAGCTGGCTGCCAGGGAGGTGGCCCCGACCGGCCCGTGGAGGACTCACAGAGGCCCTGGGGTCCCCAGACCCACAGCTGCCCTGAGAGGACTTACCTGCTTAGGTCGTCCATCTGTGCGTCACTTGCAGAGGGAGCGGCACAGCCGGGCCCCGTCCCCAAGTCCCTCCAGAAGCAGAGGCGGGTGCTGGAGCGCTTGGTCAGCAGCGAATGTGAGTACGGCCTCCGGGCCCGCACCCATGACCCCTCTGGCCAGGCGCCTAGGCCCGCAACCCCGGGCACCACGTCCGCTCCCCGCTGCAGGGTCCAGACCTGGGGGCTGGGAGGCCTGACGGGTCCGGCCCGGTGGGGGCTGTGGGTGTTCTGGGCGGTGGGACCTGGCCCCTGCCCAGCGGAGGCACCCGGTCCCAGCAGGGCCGCAGGACAGTCCGTGCAGGACAGCAGGACAGGGTGGGTTGTGGGCACCAGGGGGGCCGAGCAGGTCAGCAAGGATAAGGAGTCAGTCGGCCCTGGAGGGTCGGGGAGGGTGCGGGGGCACCCGCAGGGGCGGGGAGCGTCCAGGCGGGAGACAACCTCACGTGCCCCAGGAGCAAGCGGCCCAGCCGTGTGGACACACAGCTCTCAGGGTCCGGCACCCGTCCCGGAGGGGACCAGACAGGAGGGACGTGGGGCTGCCTGGCTCCTGCCCGTGCGCTCAGGCAGGCCTGGCTTCCTCCTGGTGCCGAGCCCACGGTGATGGTGGGAGTAGGGAGCCGAGCCACAGCCCCGAGAGCTCCTGGGGTGCACGGGCCGCGCAGAGGGCCCCCCCCACCCGGCTGCTCAGCAGGGTGCCCATCCCGTGTCGCGTGGTCTCCCCGGGGCGTCGGGCCGTGGGCGGCACAGACTCGCCTCCCTGCTCCGTTCGGGGAGGCAAAGCGCTGTGGGATGCCGGACGGCGATGGAAGCCAGCGCGCCGGACCATTCTGGGCGGTCGTCAGGCCGGCGCGCCAGGAGCCCAGCTGCTCTCAGGGCAGAAGCCCTGTGCCCACAAGCCCGTGGGGTGGTGCCCCCGAAGGAGCCCAGCTCCGCCCTCTCGGCCACCCCTCCACTTCCCGGGGGCCCCTGGAGCCAGACAGTCAGGGTCGGGGGCCGTGCGGCCCCTGCAGACGTCCGCGGTGGGGTGCTCGGTGCGCGCCAGCAGGCCAGCTCCCCTTGGGTGCAGCTCTCCGCCCTCCCCACCGCGGCCGCAGGCTTGTGCCTACTCCTCTCCTCCCAGAACCAAAAGGAGGAGACCCCCCCTCGTCCCTCGTTCCCATAGCAACCCGCCTGGTCCTGTCTCCCCTCGGCCACTCCCCTTGGCCCCGGCTCCTCTCCTGTCTGGGCCCTGCCCTCGCCGTCCCACCAGCACGGCTCTGTCCCAGGCTCTGCTGACCCGTCCTCGGGCCCCATGCCTCGGCAGCCACCAGACACCAGATGCGCAGCCCGGATGGGCCCCTGGGCCCCGTCCTCCCACTGGTCACCTCGAGGCATCTCAAGCCTCACCGCCCACCTGCCCCTGCGCCCTGTGTGGGGTCTGGGGGTCTGGCGGTCAACTAGGCCAGGAGCCTGGACGGGCACATGCTGGGCTCACACGTCCCAGCTTCCGGCACGCAGTAGGCTGTCGGGCACGTGCTGAGTGGAGGGTCAGCAGTGCCGTGAGGCCAGGGCTGAGATGAGGCGGCGGGAGGCGCTGGTGGTGAGGGTGGCGCAGGGCCTGGGGCAGACCCTGGACTTGAGGGCTGGGGCGGGGGCATGGGGTCAGTGTGGCAGCAGGTGGAGGGCACGGCTGGAGGCCGTCTCGGCTGCCCCTCTCCTCCTGTCCGCCTGTCCTCGCCCGCCGTCTGTGTCGGGACAGAGCTTGCCGGGCTTCGCCCTCCGCCGGGCCCCAGCCTGCGCTCCCTGGCTGACCGCCTGCCCGCGTGGGGAGGCCGGGCGCTTGCAGGGTGGGCGGACCCTGTGCCCTCTGTCTTGTGCCCAGCCAAGAGCCACATAGCACCAGACGACTTCGTGGAGATCACCAAGAAGTACGCAAAGGGCATCATCCCCGCCAACCTGTTCCTGCAGGATGACGACGATGACGAGCTGGCGGGCAAGGGCCCCGAGGACCTGCCCCTGCGTCTGAAGGTGAGTGGGGCTGGGGGCTGTCAGCGCCCGCCCACCCGGCCTCCCCCCACGCCTGGGCCTGCCCTCCTCTGGGGCCCGCGGCTTATAAGGACCGTCCCCACGTTGTCCTTCGGACGCTTCCCCGCGCCTCTGCGGGAGGACGGGCCGTGCTCTCCTGGACAGGCCCGGTGAGCCTGGGCTCCGAGGCCGGGTCGCCGTCCTGCCCTGTGGCTGGGTTCTGCTCCTTTCTTAAAAACATCTTTCATGCTCAGGGAACAGCCTGTTGTAACTTGCTGGACCTCGTCCGCAGGACGGTTCTCAGTTTCCCAGTTAGGGCCCCTAGAGTAGGGCTTGGACGGAAGCTCCCGGGGCAGAGTTGGGGCCGCGGCCCAGTGGCCCTGGCACCTCGCTGTGCAGACGCAGGCAGGACACGGCGTTCCACAAGCTTCACGGTCATTTTTTGGACGTATTACTCCTCTGTTTGACAGAGCGCGCTTGCAGAAGCAGGGGGAGTGGCGGGGAGCAGCGGGGGCAGCAGGCTCCCGCAAAGCAGCGCAGGTGGTTGACGTGCAGCAGGCTCCCGCAAAGCAGCGCAGGTGGTTGACACGCTGACGGGGAGCCCCGGTTCCTGGGCAGGGCTGCATGCGTGTCCGGGCATCCGGGCACCTGCACAGAGGGTCCAGGGGCCACAGCGGCCCGGGAGCTGCGGTCTGCGCGGCTGGCGCTCAGGGACCCCCGCTGGCCGCCTGGCCCTGCCTCCGTCTGGTCTGGCGGGCGGCACAGGTGCTCACTGGTCACCTGTGAGGTGGAGGCTGCTCCGGGCGGGCAGGGGGTGTGTGGTCGTCAGCTGGGTCGTGCAGGGTCATCGGCCAGGGGTGGTGGTGGTGTGGGTGCACATGTTCCCTAGTGTCTCAGGCCCCCGTGTGTGCCCGGCTCCCTGACTCTGCAGAGCACACTCCAGTTCCTCCCAGGTGTCGTCCTCTCGGGCTGACACGCGACACCCTGCGCTGGTACGGTCACGTAGTCGTGCCCACCCAGGACCCCCCCAGGTTCTCCAGGCTGTGGCAGGAGCCGTTACGTGGCCCCTGAGGGGGCTCTGGGCACCGTCCAGGCTCCCCTGCCCCCCCGTGGGTGGTGCTGTGCCCTTGGGGACCTGCTGCCGCCCCTGCAGACCCCATGGAGGGCCAGCACCTGCGCCCCTGCCTAGCTTCCCTGAGCCCAGCAGGGCGACACCCCTCAGAGTTGTGCACGGCGCTGGAGCCCGGCCCGGGTGTTGGAACCGCCCTGCCCCCTGCCCTGGACGGCCCCCCTCACCGCCCCCCATCCCCCTTCGTTCTGTGCTGTGCAGAGGTCTGAGGGTCGCCCCTGCCTTTCGCACTGGGTGCAGGTTGTGCCAGTGGCCGTCGGGGCTGAGCGTGGGGCAGCACAGCTGCGTGCAGGTGGCAGCCAGGCCGCGGGTCCTCAGGGTCCTGGCCACTAGCCCGCTAGCCCGCTTAGCCCGCTAGCCCACTAGCCTGCGTGGCTCCCCTGCCCTCAGGGATGAACCCCATCCCCCACAGGTCACGGTGGCTGAGCCCTCCCCCTGGCTCCCCACACCCGCTGCCTGCCCAGGGATGGCGCAGAGCCCTCCGCGGGCTCCCCTGCCCTTAGCTGACAGAGGGGCTGGGGGCCGGGGTCCGAGGCTTGGGGCACCCTTGCTGCGGGGGGCCCGCCCGACGTGCCTGCGGGTGCTGAGGTCTCAGGGGACACTGGCTCGCAGGAGTCTGCACACCCGGCAGGTTGGGGTGGGAGGGGAGCCAAGGACAGGCAACAGGACCTGCGGCCCCGGTGCAGCTGGGGGACGGGCCGAGTGGACCGGAGTGCAGGGACCCGCTGGGACTAGGGGACCAGGGGCCCAGGGGCAGCGGGCTCCCACGGTCAGCGGAGCGCGGAGGGCGGCGGGGCTCCGGTCAGTGTGGGTCACAGCTGGTGTCCGTGTCCTCGCCTGCAGGTGGTCAAGTACCCGTTGCACGCTGTCATGGAGATCAAGGAGTACCTGATCGACGTGGCCTCGCGGGCGGGCATGCACTGGCTGTCCAGCATCGTGCCTACCCAGCACATCAACGCCCTCATCTTCTTCTTCATCATCAGCAACCTGACCATCGACTTCTTCGCCTTCTTCATCCCGCTGGTCGTCTTCTACCTGTCGTTCGTCTCCATGGTGATCTGCACCCTCAAGGTGTTCCAGGACAGCAGGGCGTGGGAGAGCTTCCGCACCCTCACGGGCCTGCTTCTGCGCTTTGAGCCCAACCTGGACGTGGAGCAGGCCGAGGTCAACTTCGGCTGGAACCACCTGGAGCCCTACGTGCACTTCCTGCTGTCCGTCTTTTTCGTCATCTTCTCCTTCCCCATCGCCAGCAAGGATTGCATCCCCTGCTCCGAGCTGGCCGTCGTGTCCGTCTTCTTCACCGCCACCAGCTACATGAGCCTGAGCTCGTCTGCCGAGCCCTACACCCGGAGGGCCCTGGTGACCGAGGTGGCCACCGGCCTGCTGTCCCTCCTGCCCACCCTGCCCTGCGGCTGGCAGCACCTGAAGCTCTTGGGCCAGACCTTCGTCACCGTGCCCCTGGGCCACTTGGTCGTCCTGAACGTCAGTGTCCCCTGCTTGCTGTATGTGTACCTCCTGTACCTCTTCTTCCGCATGGCGCAGCTGCGGGGCTTCAAGGGCACCTACTGCTACCTGGTGCCCTACCTGGTCTGCTTCATGTGGTGCGAGCTGTCCGTGGTCATCCTGCTCGAGTCCACCGGCCTGGGGCTCGCCCGAGCCACCGTGGGCTACTTCCTCTTCCTGTTCGCGCTCCCCGTCCTGGTGGCCGGCCTGGCACTCGTGGGCGTGCTGCAGCTTGCCCGCTGGTTCCTGTCGCTGGAGCTCACCAAGGTGGCCGTCACCGCACTGCTGTGCAGCATCCCCCTGCTGTTCCGCTGGTGGAGCAAGGCCAGCTTCTCGCCAGTGGCCATGGTCAAGTCCCTGACGCGGAGCTCCATCGTCAAGCTCATCCTGGTGTGGATCACAGCCATCGTGCTCTTCTGCTGGCTGTACGTGTACCGCTCGGAGGGCATGAAGGTCTACAACTCCACGCTCACCTGGCAGCAGTACGGCTTCCTGTGCGGGCCCCGGGCCTGGAAGGAGACCAACATGGCCCGCACCCAGATCCTGTGCAGCCACCTAGAGGGCCACAGGGTCACGTGGACGGGCCGCTTCAAGTACGTGCGGGTGACGGAGATCGACAACAGCGCCGAGGCGGCCATCAACATGCTCCCGCTCTTCGTGGGCGACTGGATGCGCTGCCTGTACGGCGAGGCCTACCCGTCCTGCAGCCCCGGCAACGCCTCCACGGCCGCGGAGGAGCTGTGCCGCCTGAAGCTCCTGGCCAAGCACCCCTGCCACATCCGCAAGTTCGACCGCTACAAGTTCGAGATCACGGTGGGCATGCCCTACAGCGGCGCCAACGGCTCCCGCGGCCCGGAGGAGGACGACGTCACCAAGGACATCGTGCTGCGGGCCAGCGGCGAGTTCAAGGACGTGCTGCTCAGCCTGCGCCACGGCAGCCTCATCGAGTTCAGCACCGTCCTCGAGGGCCGCCTGGGCAGCAAGTGGCCCGTCTTCGAGCTCAAGGCCATCCGCTGCCTCAACTGCATGGCGCAGCTGTCCCCCGCCCGGCGCCACGTGAAGATTGAGCACGACTGGCGCAGCACCGTGCACGGCGCCGTCAAGTTCGCCTTCGACTTCTTCTTCTTCCCATTCCTGTCAGCTGTGTGAGCCCATCCCCACCCACCTCCCCCGGGCCACCCGGCTGAGCGCGCGCCTGTGCCCACCAGCCTGCGGACACCTCCGGTCGCTGCCCGTCCCAGGCACCGGCACCGCGGGAACTGCCTGCGGCGTCGGGAGCCGACGTGGCCAAGAGCTGGCAGGGAGAGCACGGTCCAGGGGAGGCCCCGCCTGCCCCTTCACTGTCCTGCACCATGGCGTCTCTTATTTATTGGGTCACTGCTAAGCCTGGACAGCTGTCTGCTGGAGCGGGACTGGGGCAGGCGGGGGGCGGGGGGGGGGGGCGGCTCCGGGCGCTCGGGCTAGTGGGTCAGCGTGCAGACGAGGGGCCGATGCACCCAGGATGGGGACGTGGGAGGCACCCGCGCTGTCCCCTCCTGCACCGTCCCCACCCGGTGCTCAGAAGAGCGTGGCCCCGCTCCATGTTGGACACAGAACGTCAAGGTCCAGATGCAGCCGAAATAAAAACACTTCACGAAACCCACTGCTGGTCTTTTCTTCATTTAAAAACACGGTTTTCCTGTATATTGCGGAGAGCAGGTGGCTCGGCCGCACTGACCTCACTGCTGCAGTCTCCAGGAGTGGGGCTGACGCTCCCGGTGGCGGGCGACCCCCACCTAGCCCCGGCCAGGGTGCAGCCAGGGGCCCCGCTGCGCTCGGGGCCTGCAGGGTGGGGGGCACGCACGGTCCCGGACCGAGGGGCTCAGCCCTCCTGAGACGGCGCTCACCTGTACCCCCACGGTGGGGAGCAGACACGCACTGGCAACAGTCAGTGAGGCCTGAGGCCGTGGCCTGTGCTCGCTGCTGCACCGCGATGGAGCCACCGGGCGTCGGAGCACGAGGCCGTGCCCCTCGGGTGGGCGCCGCGTCTCCATCCCTCCTGTTTCTTCCCTGACGCGGAGGTCTGGGACCCAGGGGCCTCCCCGCTCCATCTGCGCTCGGCTCTGGTGGCTGCCTCCGGGCTCCGTGTACCCGGCCCATGTGGACGCGGTGCCGGCAGCTGTGCCCCTGCACTAGCTCCGCGTCCCCCCGCACCTGCTCTCGGGCTCCTTGCCTGCGCAGCCAGACACGGAAGGTCAGCAACCCCCCCCCCCGCTCCCCCCCCCCCCAGTCCCAGAGCCACAGACTCACAAGGCCATCTAGCACGTCCGCAGTTGGCCTGCCTGGCCCCCCAGGGACCGTTGGGGCGGGGGGGGGGGGGGGGTGTGTGCTTGGTGACCTCATCTGATCCTTGCACTCCCTCAGTTGGGAGGGGTCGAGGGACACCCCGACGCACAGACAGGACGGGTGCAGAGCGGGGTCACAGGGTGCACCAGCGGCGGGGCTGGGGTCACAGAGTCTGTCCCCTGGGCTGCCCCCGGCCCCCAGCAGAGCTGCCTCTTGTGTGCTCTCGGGGGCCCAGGCGGGGGGTTGGACCCCGGCTTCACTGCCTCTGTCAAAGCCCTGCACAACGGGCAGCCAATGGGCCCAACCCCATCCCGTCCCATCTCCGTCTAGTCCCGTCCCCATCCCATCTTTGTCCTGTCCCGTCCCCATCCCCATCCCATCCCCATCCCCGTCCCATCCCCGACCCATCCCTGACTGTAGAGCAGGCCGTCTGGGCGGGGCCCGGTGCCCAGAACTTACAGGGAACCCTTTGTCCCCTGCATGTGCCACGAAGCCGCAATGCACAGAGCGACGGGTGTTGGCGTCAACTCAGGTGGGTCCCCACGACCTGCTGCGAGCCCTGGCCTGCGCCTGCCCCTGCGCACTGGGCTCTGGCAGGCCCAAGCGTCCCCCGCCTCTCCCTCAAGGCCTCACCACGCCACCTGTGGGGTCCCCTCTGGCTTTTTAAGAACGTGACCCTGGGGCACCAGGGCGGCTCAGTAGGTGAGGCATCCAGGTCGTCGTCTGGGGTCCTGGGGTCCAGGCCTGAGGTGGGCTCCGCACTCAGCACTCCCCTCCCTCCCCCTTCCATCCCCCTCCCTCCCCCCTCCCTCTCTCCCACCTCCTCCCTCACTCCCCCTTCCTCTCCCTCTCTCCCCTTTCCTCCCCATCTCCCCCTCCCTCCCCCTCTCCCTGTCCCTCCCCCTGCCCCTCCCTTCCCCTCCCTCCCTCCCTCCCCGTCCCTCCCCCTCCCCCTCTCTAATAAATGAAATGTCAAGGAAAAAAAACACTTTACAGAATAACGGTGTTTAGGTTGGGACTGAGCCGAGTGGGCCTGCGTCCATGAGCCGGCACGTCCCCACAGCCCTGCCCCGGGACCCCGGACGCAGCCCGCCTCCGGGCTGCATCACAGGATCCCATCCTCGGCTTCGCATCCAGAAAAGCTGGGCTGACCCGTACAACAGGCTTTGTCCAGCGTCACTGAGGAGCCCTGAGTACTGTCCTCGCCACCCACGAGCAAATATTTACCGTGCAGTGATGCTGGGCTGACCCTGCCATGTGCGTCAGGCCCGGGGCCCACCCCAGGGGGGTCACGTGGTCGGGTGTCCGTGCCCCAGGTTCCTGGGGGGGGGGGTTCCTGGCTGCAGACGCGGGAGGGAGAGGCTCTGCAGCCCTGGGATGGGGGCAGGAGGCTGCGGGAGGACAGGGCGCTGCACTGTGACAGCGAGGGCAGGATCGCAGGCGGACAGGCCGGGGGACGAAGGTCACTCGGGGCCCCACAGGCGGCCCCGGCTTGGGGGCCAGGGGCCAGGCAGGGAGGGCCCCAGGGACACCCCGAATGGTGCTCTGGCTTCCAAGGAACCGCGAGCGTGGGAGGGCCTTGGCCCAGCGGCCCGGAGCTGTCCTGCTGGGGGAGAGGTCAGGCGCAGGCTCAGGAGGGACTGAGCTCACGCCTCGGGGCAGGGGCGCCCTCGAAACGGGCTTCGGAGCTGGCTGTGGGCTGGCATGTGGTGCGCATGAGGGCATCGGGCACACACGCAGGCCCCACGTCCCCCCCACCCCCCCACCCCCCCCCGTGTCACACACACACGGGTCGGGCTTGCGCCATGTCACGGGGCCGGGACAGCAGAGCCGGGTTGCGGCCAGGTCCTGCCCTGTGTCCCCGGGCCTCGAAGACAGGAGTTTGCGGGGCTGGAGCTCTGTGTTCACGGCACCCACAGAGGGGCCGCCCCTCCACCTGCGGGGGCGAGGCAGTCCATGCCTGGCACCTGCCGGGCGCCCCTCGGCCCTGCGAGCACCCTGGGGTGATGCAGCGGCACTGTGGGAGCTGCTCTGGGAGGCCCCGGGATGCGTCTGTTCCGAGTGTGGAGCCGGTACAGCAGGCGCCTGGTGGGAGGGGAAGGGGGCACCGTGTGCCCATGTGCCCGGGGCGGGCCCCCTCAGCCTCCTGCGGCCCCGGGGCACCTGAGGAAGGGCAACCCGGGGTCCTTATCCTCACTCCTCGCTCAGGGGACGCTGCTGGCCTCGGCTCGGCCCCCATCCCTGTGTCCCCTTAACCCCGCACCTGACACTCATCCCCCTTCTCCCCTTCGCCGGCTGCCGCCCGGGCCCTCCCACGTGCTGCTTGTCTGAGGCCGTCGCCCCTGGTTCCCCCTGACTTGCTGACCGATACAGCGCCAGGCTCTTTCTCTTATTTCGTAATTTTTCTATTTTAGAGACAGAGACAGAGCATGGAGGGGGGCGGAGGGGAGGGGAGGGAAGGGAAGGGCAGGCTCCCCTCGGAGCACAGAGCCGCACACAGGGCTGGGTCCAGGACCCGGGATCACGACCCGAGCTGGAACCCAGAGTCCAGGCTCGAGGGACTGAGCCCCCTGCGCCCCGGCTCCCCCCCCCCACCCCCGGCAGCCAGTCCTTGTCCGCTGGCCGGGGCGGGGGCGTCTGGAGCAGCTCGCAGAGACCCCAGCCCGCACTCCCCGCTGCCCATCCTTTACCCAAACCCCCACCTCTGGTGGCCCCGCAGAGGCCTGCAGCTCCCCCACGGGAGCACCCCCCCCCCCCCCGCACCCCGTGCAGACCATGGGACTGCTCCTCCCCTGTGGCCTCCCCTGTGCCGCGACCCCTCCCCGCCTCCTCTCTGGCCTGCCCGCCCTCCCCCTCACTGCCGGCACCGCAGAAGGTAGCGCCTGGGGGCTCTGGTCAAGATGATGGCAGGGATGAGTCCTGCATGGGGCTCCCTGCCCAGCGGGGAACTGCTTCTCCCTCTGCTCCTCCCCCTGCTCGTTCTCTCTCTCTCTCTCTCTCTCTCTCTCTCTCTCTCTCAAATGAATAAATCAAATCTTTTTTTTTTTTTTAATGGCCATTTTGGGTCCCAAGTGCAGTTGCCCCTGGAGTCCGCCCTAAGCGCTCACAGCCCCGCGGCGGAAGCCGACTCGCCCCACCCTCACTCAGGAGGCAGTGGGGAGCCCAGGCTGGGGGAGATTGGGCACGGAGCATCGAGGGCAGGGGGACTGGCCGCAGCTGGGGGCCCGCGTGTCCCTCGTCCCTGACCCTGCTGATCACCCGCACCCGCACCCGCACCGTTCTCCCAGCAGAGGCGCAGCCCATAGCGGGGGCTGTGACCTGGGCTCCCCGAGCCACGGCTGCCAACCGCAGCCGGGAAGGTCCTCTCCAGCCAAGAGGCTCAAGTTGAAGCTTTCAGTTACTCATTAGAGAGAGAGAGAGATGGGGGGGAGGGAGACAGAGACGCCCCGTGGGGTGGTAGTGCAGGGCACAGGGGGTGCACGGGGTGCAGGAGGCCAGGGGTGCCCTTGATGCAGGGGGAGCTGAGGGCACGAGTCCATGGGAGCAGGGCTGGGCCCTGGGCATGCCCCTGTCAACCTTAGGAGCAGTGTCCACGGTGGGCACAGGCCCTGAGCTGAGCCAGTCCTGGGGCCTGAGAGAAGGGTCGCTGCTCGGGGCCCGGTGCTGTCTTCACAGGATACAGCCCAGTTTGCCTGCAGCTCCTGGCTGCACCCGAAGTACGCCCTGTGACCCTACCCCTGATTCCCTGACACACACCCCCCGCCGCAGGCCATGCCCCCCACCCTCCCCCCCCGTGGCCCCAAACGTCCCCCCAAACGTCTGTGGGCTCAGGGACCAGGGGCGGCCGGCATTCTCGGGGGTGCGGACACCCGGCGCTGCCCCCCAGGTGGCAGCCCTACCCACAACCCCCCTGCCCCCCCACCCTCCCCACAGTCCCCCGCCCCGCCCTCCCCCTCCCCACAGTCAGATGTTTTGATGCAAGTCAGCAGTTACCACAAACAGAAGCACAGGTCGGCTCACCCTACAAAGGGGTTTATGGGCTCCCAGAACAGAAAACAGCTTTAGGGGAAGTCCCTGTGGAGACTGAGAGGATGCCCCACAGGCTAAGGGCTGGCACCGGGGACCCAGGCTTCCTCTGCATCGTCTTTTCCTCTCTTGGTTTCACCCTCAGAGTCCCCACAGGTGACCCCACAGTGCTGGGCTCCCCGCCATGGTGGTGAAATGGCTGCAGTGGCTCCAGATGTCACCACCTCACTCCCCGACTTCTGGAGGAGCCTGGAAGCTTCCTTTCCTCAGCAGAAGTCCTGGTGTTTTGTC